TATAGAGGAGAAAAAGCCTGAAAAATCAAAAGCATTTTTTGCGAATTCGTTGTTCAAATTGCGTTGACGTAGATAGTTGCATAGTCTAGCATCTCATTATTTGTAACAAACCTATATATTGTAAACACCTACATTTATTTTTTCTCTCTTTTTCAATTCAGAATACAGTTAAAAACTTGTTGTGAGCGCACCGTTCGAGATTTACATCAGCCATCTAGCGTCTAATCCGCTTGGTACTTTCTTTGCTGTGACTAAGATCTTAAGGGATAAAACAAAGCTTAACATGTAGTACTAAAAGGGCATAGTCATAGATGTAGTGAAAAAACTAGACAAAGTTTTCATAAATGCTAAGTGTTAAAACAATTCACTAGGAAACAGCTGAAAGCCCTATTATTTTATGAAACCAGTGCTAATAAAGCAGAGCAACCTAACCTCTAAGCAAAGCAAGCAGTCAAAATAGGAAAAGACTATTTACCGCGACGTCCTCTCCCCCAACTATCCATAGTAGATAGTGTTATGAGAGAGGCATCCGACAATCTCTCTAGAGAGCCGTCTGAGGTGAGAGGCCCAATATGTTACGAGGAGTTCACCGTAAATGACGGTTTTATTCAACATAAAAGCACGAAAAAAAATTACAGTATTAATCCATTCTTGGGCCATAACGGATACCTAATAAAAAAGAGAGGAACCAAACTTGTGAATGACTTGAAACACGACAATTATTAAATGCTTTTATGTAGATAGGTTAAATGTGAAATATCTCAACTACCTACAAAAAAACCTCATATCGAACATTTTTTTTCTGAAAAATTAATTTCGTTCGTGTCCTGGAAAATGACACACTCTCGGAAGCATCCCGTAAGGATCATTAATCTGATGTGTCGATGCAATGACAAATTTGTGAATCGCTTAACCATTCCGCCGTAATATAATTCTATCTACTCGTCTAGGTAATTAACGGATTAAGTTTGTTAGATCGTAACATAATTACAGAACTAATCTGCGTTCAACGTGCATATTGTTCCCTAAGTAAAATAATAGATTGCGGAATGATTGTGACCCACATTCAATACCCAATTATTACACATTGCTGAAACAGGAATTAGGTTGTCCGGAAATGGCTGAATGGGAAGGGAAGGCGAAATCGAACAGAGAAAACCTTCATAACCGTAACCTACTTTTGTATTTGCACTACCGCGATGCAATTATTTTGCTGGAGTGTGTACATATTAAAAGTTTAAACAGGTAGGTCCACAGTCCACGAAAATAGTTCGTTCAAAGATATGAATGGCATTCCTATATTTAAGAAATTGCACACTATAATTCATGGGCATTTGCCTGATAGGTTGTTCGGAGGAAAAATATACAGTGTGTTTCACCTAAGAGGGATTCTTCTTTAACTCTAGGTAAGTGTAAAATTTATAAAAAACATGGTTTTCATAAAAGTTGACTGGAATCATGTGGACCATTTTTCATAGTTCGTTTTGGCATAAATTACTCCATCTTGTCATCTGTAAGCAAAACGTGTACGTTATTCAGACTCGGAAATTCTGAGACCTACATTTAATAATCTTACGAGTTGAAAAACTTTTTTCTTCAAATGGAATGACCCATATTAATTGTCACGGGTGAACGCAAAATTGAATGCCATTTCGACTGATATAAGGTTGTTCATACTTATATCTAACAGTTTTCCAGAAGAATCAGTCGAGTCCGAAAAAGTAGCTATGTAACAGCGTCAAGAAGGCCTTGCAAACAATGTACTGTTTGACACACAAAGCAAATTAATTGTCACTCTAGTTTTGATTAACGTTGACGTTGTAGTTATTTTGCTTAGAGAGTAAAAGTTTATTAAAATATTTTTAAAATGTGACGCAGGAAGAATTGATTGATAGGTTTTTTTTTTTACTGGTAATATTCGACATACAAAACGAAATCTCCATAAAACTACAGAGTTGGAACACCCTGTATAAAATCGGTAATAGGAGTTATACAGAATATAGAAAAGAAGACATGATATTTTTTAATGAGATTAATAAAGGATAAAACACAACCCCGGAATTTCAAAGTGTGTCTAGATAATTAAATTCAATTAACGTTACGGTAATTCCGCTACTGTTAAAACAAAACAAAATCCGATGACCCGGATGAGTAACTATCAACTTCGCTAAAGTTTTTTTGCCACTTCAATTTTCACAGAAAATTAAAGTGGTCATATTTTGGTAATGCGAACCACTTTTATTTAAATAAGATGTTTTCTGTACCCACAAAGAGAACCTTTATTTATGAAACATGAACTGAAACTGAACATTTTCATCATTGACTTATAGCTTGTGGGCCTAGAGATTGCCTGAAAGAATAGTATGGGCCCTACGCTTCATATTATTGTAAAACTATGACCTCAATTATAATTGTTAAAAGGATTAGCTGTTAGAAGGATAAAAATATCTAGGTTTGAGGACCGTAATAACATCCGTTTAATAAAATTTTATACTTTATAAAACAAGAAATTATACAATGTCTTTATTAATTCTATTGCAAAAGTGTGAAGCAGTATATGTACCTACTATATTTATAATAGTATTTAAAATTTAATATAAAACTTCCAAATTTCTATTATAAGAAGTTATTGCAATGTGTCTCATGTTGTTTTTTTGGAACAAGAGAAAAATGTCTCATACCTTTATCTTTAGCAGATCTACAAATATAAAAATAAGTTTCATCCAATTTGTTATTAATGTTACAGTTACAGTTCCAGTTACATATGGAAGAAACTATTATTTCCTGTTTAAGGTTCAATTTTTCAAAATTTACTCTTCTTTAAATATTTAAATGACTAAACAAATAAAATAAAACTCAAAAACAAAATCCACAGAAATAAAAATTAACAACAAAGAACACAAAAGAAATTTAAAGAAAAAACAATGTAACACCGCAAGTTATAAAATACGGAATACACTTGATATCGCCATGGGCGTAGGTAGGATTTTTGCCTGGAGTGAGCCTTGAGGCGCCAGTTAGTCAGCCGGCTAGTGCGACCAAAATGATGATAGTGGATTTTTTTTTTCTGGGCAGAGCACCGCATTCTCTAGGAGGGCCGTGCTCACCCCTGCCCCTTAGCTATACGCGCCTGGATATCACATAATAAATACGATAAAACCCTCTCGTGTTAATGAGACTATAGTTTCACTTCATTTTAAATCTTGATTCCTTACCTCTCTCCAAATTCCATCCGTAGTATACAGTCAAATAATATGGATCTTACGGACCTAACAAATTAAATGTTTCTCTTCTCATTTGAAAACACAGGTGGGTAAAAAGTTTCCGCAATTTTTTTGGACAGTGATTTGATACTATTTTTTTCTTAAGTTCTAGTTGAATAGTTGAATTCGCCATGTAATTTTAACCTTAAATATTGTTGTAATTGTTTGATTATTTTTAGTTAATTTTGCGCTATATAGACCTTGAAAATATGCGTGTTAAGCCTGTATTAGACAACGCAATTTAGTTGCAGCGACAAAATTGCGGGGAAAAATAGCATGCTTTATCACACAATGGGACAGAATTGCTGCAATTTGTTTAGTTTGCAGTAGTGTTACCAACTGTGCATTGCTTAACATGTAAAATTTCTTGTATGTATCTTGTAAACAATTATTTTTTATTCAAGTAAAACATTGCAATGGATGAAAATTTAAAAGTAAATTGTATATTGTATAGCTTCAATAATGGCTTCAACGGTGTTACTAACCGTGATCAACAGCCAACTACAGCTAGGTTGGTAATAAACAAATCTTCATAAAGTAACTAGAATCCCTGCAATTTTGTTGCACGGAATAGAGCATGTTCTAATTCATACAATTCAGTTGCCGGGACAGAATTGCATAGTCTGATAAGAAAAATTTTATGGATTCTATTGCTGCAACCAAATCCCTTGCAACAAAATTGCATTGTCTTATACAGGCTTTACTCTGTCGTTGAATTGCACAAGACGAGAATGAAGATGGTCGGTTTCAAGAGTAGAACCGTCTAAGATGATGTGAAACGTTTCAAGAAGTCAGCAGGGATTGCGGACCGTCCTCGGAGCGGGCTTCCAACAATCGCCACCACTCTCAAGAACGTCAACAAGATGCGACACCGAATTCGTCAAAATCCCGAACTCTCAATACGCAAGATGGCCGTGGAGCTCGGAATCAGCGCTGAGCACGTACGAAACGTTGTCAAGAGGAATCTGGGACTTCGAAGGTTGCTCGTGTCTACTACCTCAATGAAGCAGTGGCGGCAAAGCGACTACACGAATACTGTAGAATATGTTGGATGGTCGCTGGAGATCGCCTGAAGAAGGTACTCTACAATGGCGAGATTTTTCACAAATGAACCGCTCCAAAATCATCGTCAGCTCAGTCAAGGCCAGAAGACTGGCACTGCGAAAACTATCTACCGGCGTCATCATCCGGCCTCGGTGATGGTCTGGGCCGGTAACTACGCCACCGGGAAGACACCATTGGTATTTATGACATATGGTGAGCGACGCGGCACTTCGGTGCGTGAGGCTTCACGCTACAGCAGGATTGGGTGCCGGCGGGTTCCGCCCAATCCACCATCGCCGTCAGCGAAGAGTTGTTTCTGGTCTTTTTGGGGCAAGGACGTTTGGCCGCCCAACTCGGCGGATCACAACCCTAGAGACCATTCGATGACCTGTCGAAAACAGCGTTGGAACGTGTCTGGGACGAGTTTACGGTGGAAGAAGGTGCGACCGTTGGCAATTTTCGAAAGCGGCGGAATAAATGTATTGAAGCCAATTTTTGTTGTAAATTTTTTTGTTTAATATTATTAATGTCGATTTAATATATATATTTTTATTTTTGGACTGTATTGGTTTGTTCAATTATGTGGTAGTTATACACTAAAAAAATTGCAGGAACTTTTCACCGAGCTTTTCAGTCTATTTACTTTAATATATGGTAATTAGTTAAAAAAAAACGCAAATAAAAGCCAACAGCAAAAATTCTATAATTTTATTAATATCTATTTACCAGAAATAACAAAATATAAAATAATGACTATATTCACATCCTATGTCCATTTCTGTGATTTTCAGTCCTATACAAAGTGTCAGTGCTATTATCTAATCATTTTTTACTGATTCTATAATTTCTTCAACCTAAAATTAAACAATTCAAGTGAGCATAGTAAGCATTTAGGTTTGACAATAATTATACTAACCTCTCTATTCAAGAGCTGACTACTTAATCTTTGGCTCATCACTCTATATTGCAACTTTACCTTTTCATGAAATTTCGAAGGAATAACAGATATTGTTGTTAATGTGTTTCCGACAAATAATATAAAGAACATGGCACTTAGAACGGGTACCTGAAACATTACACCATAACATTTTTTAAAATCACATTGAAATTGAAAACCGTTCAATACACATAAATTTAAAATGTCTTAATTTATAATAGTTAATAAAAAAAATACTTACATGCCATGTTGTAGTTTCATTATAACTTAATAAAAATAGTGTATAAGCATTGTACAGTTGGAATAAATATCCAATAAACAAAAATGGTAACAAAAAACTTAAACCCCTCCACATCCACGAATGGAATCCCTCGATAGTGATATCCATATTATGTCTCTCACCTAGTGCTTTCAGTCTGTATAATACTCCCCTTTGGTATCTAAATTGTAGATATTGCACAAGACCTATAAATAAAAAATTATATTTGATTTGTAGGTCAACATCATGCATCAAATACACATTCGAGACATGAGAAAATTGCAAAGTTAAATTGTGTTGGACCAATTCTGTTAATAAAATGGAATGTAAGGAATTTACTTAAACTGAAATAAATGGATCAATATGAAGAAATTAACACTCCTATTAATATTGTTGCCAAAGTATACATAGTGTTTCAAAATAACCTGTGCCATTGGTTATAGAGATTCTAAATCCAAAATATGGATCGTTTATTTGATTTCTAAGATACAAAGTATTTAAGTTCCTTTTAGACAGATCGAAATAACTTATTTAGAGGGAAAAAAAAGAAAAATAACAAACGAAAAAAATAAATGCGTGAGCAGGAGTGGCGGAGGGTTGGTTTGGGGAGTTGAAAAGTTGTGAAAAATTGTATCATTGGGATTTTGGGCGAAAGTTGGCGTCAAACAAAAAAGTATCCAATACAAAAGTTGTTAAAAGTTTCGTTAAAATTAAATTATTTTTGCGGAAATGAGAAATAAAAAACGAAAAATCAGAAAAAAAACTATTTATCGCATTTTTCTCGAAAATTTTGAGGTTATCTTAAATAGTGACCTCTACAAAAGTTGTAGAATTTTGCATGATCTACAACTCTTGTATTGGTATTTTGTATTGATCTATTTTTTTGTTTGACGTCAACTTTAGCCAGAAATCCCAATGATACTATTTTTCACAACTTTACAACCCCCCAAATCAACCCTCCGCCGCCCCTAAGTTATTATAAGCCCCATACCACTTATAAAAGTCCAGGTAACAATTTTTTTTTCTCCAATTTGGTTGGACTACTTTGGGATTTTCCAAATATCTTCTAAATGACTTAATCAAATTTACATTACAATTTACATTATATATTTTTTTATAAATAGTACATCTTTGATCAAAGTGTGATGAATAGTATACAGTTGGCACTGAACTAATTTTGTAAAAAAATATGTATACCACTTGCTTTGCTTTTGACCGGCAAAAAGTAAACAGTAATTAATAAAAATTGCCTTTTCTAACTTTTGATTTTATCTTGATACTTCATACAATTATTCTTTCTTAATGAATTTAATGTATTTAGTTTGAGTTCATCTGAACAAAATCAAAGAAAATGGTTAATAATATTCAAACTTTATTCAAATGACTAAAGTTGTATGGAGTAAAATAAAGATAATACTAAAAAAAATTAACATCATATATCCCAGAAGAATATGATTTCTGAAACACACTATATGTATACACTAGGGTAGCCCAAAAAAAAACGAATATTTTTTTTCGTGCCTCTTGTGAAAATATTAGTTCATCATATTTTAAGGGCCCCCTCAATAAATCAGATCAAAAAAAAATTATTTAGAGGTTGCTAAAGATTTTTAAAAATTTCCAAAATCGTCAAAAATTATTTTTTTTTCTCGTTATTTTATCATTTTCTAGGTTGAAAAAAATTCTGAAAATTTCGATATTTTAATTTCTAAAGGTCACTCATAATTATTTCAACTTTAAAAGTAGTGTACATACTTCAAATGTTTTCGAGCGACCTCTAAGAATAAATATCAACAAACTAATAATTTTTTTATTGAATTTGACAAAAGAATAGAAATAAATCACGATATACTTAAAAAATTTCTCGAGGCAAAATTTACTACCACACTGTGAGTATTAAATATTTATAATTTTTAAATTTTTTAAAATGTAGGTGTCTCGTGATTCATTTCTATTCTGTATAAAACTTTACAGGAAAACTCCACATCAAGAATTTACTTACTTATGTAGACATTAAACATCATGAATTGGTTTCTAAAATGCGACCATGTCTCATTGTCTGGCCAAATTAATAAGATCCCCGCAGCTACTGTTGACAAGAAATGATGTAACCTCCACCAACCCTTTATCCTCGAACCGTTAACTTTGAGAATACTCTCTCTTATGGTCAGTGTACAGTAATACCAAACCAATAAAAATATATAACTGAGTTCCAGTGCTCTAAACCTTACCGAGAAATTAAGTACAGCCATAACAATGCCAATCATGCTGAGTATCAATTTGAATTTTTCATACTCATCCTTATATTTGAATCTAAAAAAATCATGCACTATAATTCTCAGACTTGAAAAAAAAACAGATCCCATATTATATTAAATTTAATATAATTTTATTTATTATCAATTTTTTTATCAATTCAAATTGTTTCCTTTATAAATTTCTACAAATTTATACTTTTTGTAAATCTAACAACTAAAATATTTAGAAAATAGATAAAAACGTATACAATAAAAAATTGAATACTCCTGCTAATGGAATATAAAATGATACTTACTTCTCTTCTTTATTGAGTATAGAAACGTTAACATTTCCTAAAATTATTTTTAAATAAATACCATTAGGTTTAGGCAAAGTTTGTTCAATTTCATATAACTGTGCCTTCCGGTTCATAATATTATTTTTTAATTCTGTTAATTTCTCCTTTTCTGCATTCTGTCTGCTCAATCTAAAAAAAATAATTAGCTGATATTAAACAAATTCTAAGAAATTTTACTACGTAAAAAAATTATTGCATTTATCTATTACAAAATAATTTATATGTATACTTGAATGCCTATTAAAACAGCGATGGTATAACCACATATTACTAATAGTTAGTAATATGTGGTATAACTCACTGCTGGACTATAAATGGCTGATAATTCTATCAAAATAATTATAGTTCTCTATAATTATTTAGGTATATTTCTTAATTATAATCAAAAGGCAACATTTCACGTGGGGTTATTTTAAATTATAAAAAAAGACAAAGCTATGCACAATGTAAGGACATGCAACCAGAATGAAAAGAAAGTTATACAAAAAGTAGATATAAGTACAAAAACAGTTTAGAAATGTGTAATAAGTATATCAAAGATCAATTGAAATAAACATTGTATGGTTATGTTACAGATTTTTAAGTGACTGGTCATTTAACCATCACTATTTAATATGAACCTTTTTGAATTATCTTGCCTTTTATGTACCAATTTCAGTGTAAATTAAAAATAACTAAGTACGCCTGAATAGATACTCAAATATAAATATGCCAATAAATATTTTCCATTATTTGGTCCATTAAATGTATTAGTATTTACCATTAAAGAAATGACTTAAATGTATCTCCTTTCCATGATAAGTTACTAGATATTCAGTAATGGTACTAGTTTTGATTTACAAAATACTTCCAAAATAAAAAAAGCATAAGTTTTGATATACCTAGGTATACTGGGAATTACCAAATCAATCAAAATGAATAAAATTAGTACATATCATATCAGTTAAGTTTAGGACCAAAACAATATCTTTAGCTGTGTTTTAAAAAAAAAATAATTGATTATATTTGTATACAAAATACAAATATTGGATTTGGAATTTCAAAATTTGCTGTGAATTTTTAATGCCCAGGTAACAAAATTTAATATTACCCAAAACAAAAAATATTATACTTAGAAAAGTGTTTAGAATTCACAGTAAATTTGATCTGGATGCTCTATACTCGGTACAAACTCGATAACCTATATAAGTTAAGGCGCAATGGTTTTGCGGCGATAATCTTTGTTAAAAACACACTAGTTTTTTCAGAAGTACATACTTAAATACTGCAGAAAAGTATTTTTACATTAACCAGAGATATACCTATAAGTGAGAATAGTAAACTTACTCCTTAATGCCTTTGGAAATAATGCCAATTCTATAACGCTGGTGGGAAATGTGATTTAGGCATTTTTTCTGAATATTGGTCAGTTCTTCCAGCTGTTGAAGATATCTCTTATTATCAACCTAAAAATTATCTATATGAATGATATATTAATGTTTTAAATTACCAACTAACCTCCAATTGCTTAAAATCTGAAGTTAATTCATCCCATTCTTCTAAAATTTGTTCTGTCATTTTAATTTAAATATAAATTAAAATATATAATTTACAGTACGTACAGTGCAAATTTTGTACCCTTAAGGTAATGACAATATAAGGAGATCGTTTACCCTTAACAATATTTTTCTTTTGACATATAGGACCACAAAACGAAAACCTCAAATCAAAATCGCACAAACACCATAGGCCACAGAAAATGACAATATAGAGGAAACATTCTTCTATAGAATATAGTTCTAGAAAAAAATAATGGAACATCATTAAGTATATTCAACGCACGGTCGTGGACCGCAAAGCGCATCCCAGGCTGCATAGCCGCACTACCCTACCCAACCATACCACACATAAATATGACACCACCTCCGGGGTTTACACAGACGAGCCGGCGAAGCAAGAAGAGGCCAGAAGAAAGGGCCCTAGCCGTCGTCAACCCCGGCCGCATTTGCGGTCGGGGTTGACGACGGATGGGGCCCACCTACGAAGGCTACACGAGATAAGGCAGAGGGATAATCCCCCTCGATCCCAAATCATTGAGGCCAATTTCTAGCCTAGGAATAATGGCGCGAGTAACACTATATTTATAGGTATTTAGCTTTAACAATAAGTCGTGTTAGCTCGAATTGTTGAACAGCCAGTTGTGGCCTCTAAAAGATACTGCTTATGTTTGTTAATGCATACTACTGCAAGCAAATGTGTAACTTTCCATAAGCTTACTGAGAATTTGCAATTCTGCGTTACAGAGAGGCTGTGTTCAGCGAATGGTCGGACTGGTCAAAGTTCAAAGTCGTTCAGCGGACAAATAATTCGTTGGTCAGCCCAATCAGCTGATTAGGAATATTGGGTAGGTTTTACTACAGTTACTAAAGGCCGTTTAGCGAATTGTTTGACTAGATAAGTTTGACCGAACTAGTTTCGACCATACACTTAACACAGCCATAGTTTACAAACACTCTTAAATGAAATAGTAGTTTTTCTTTTACTGACCCTGATGTCATCGGGAAGATCACAGACTTCTGGGAGGTATGGGGTCTTCTGGTTGGGGATTGGTTATTGCTATTACATAAATTGCTAATTTTTGACTATTGTTTGGCTGAAATAGATATTATAGATATTCACTACAATCTGCTTTTAAAAATAACTGCCTTGTAATAACAGGTTAGCTGCAATCACATGTATCACAACTAAAATTCTAAAATCTTATAATTTACAAAATTAAACCTACTTTTTTTCGTGGAGATAAAAATTATCATCCGATTCTTTCCAACCGTACTAAAATCTAATAATATTATATTGAAATCTGCGAATGCGGTTGCAAAAAGCAGAAATACATCCGCTGCGATCGTAGTCGCGCGCCATTATTCTATGGCTAGAAATTGGCCTCAATGATTTGGGATCGAGGGGGATTATCCCTCTTTATCCTGCCTCATCTCGTGTAGGCCTGGACAGCCTTCGTAGGTGGGCCCCATCCGTCGTCTACCCCGACCGCAAATGCGGCCGGTGTAGGCGCTTTGTGGGACCTCCTTTTGTCCTGGCTGGGCCCCGCCGGCTAGGGCCCTTTCTTCTGGCGCTCTTCTTGCTTCGCCGGCTCGTCTGTGTAAACCCCGGGGGTAGTGTCATGTTTATGTGTGGTATGGTTGGGTAGGGTAGTGCGGCTATGCAGCCTGGGATGCGCTTTGCTAAGG